TTTAGTAGAGACGGGGTTTCACCATGTTGACCAGGATGGTCTCGATCTCTTGACCTCGTGATCCACCCGCCTCGGCCTCCCAAAGTGCTGGGATTACAGGCTTGAGCCACCGCGCCCGGCGGAGATTAGTCTGTTATGTTTAACCAGATTTTCATCATTTCTGTTGCTCTTCCTTCATTCCTGATGTTCCAAGCTTCCTTCTGGAAGAACTTTACTTAGCAGTTCTTTTAGAATGGGCCTGCTGGCATTATGTCCAAGTTAGACAGCTTCTTTTAGTTGATTGAGTGGATGCAGGGATTGGGTGGAGTGTATTTTCTCCATTTGACCTATATCTGGAATGCTGCTATTGACTTTAATTGTTGTGTTAATAGTGTTTCCATTTCCTAACTTTCAAAATTGTTTCTTCGAAGAATTACACAAATGGCGGTGTCCTGATTATTATGAGAATAATGTCCACAAGATGCAGCTCCCATTTTCCAGCAAGCTCCTGGGCAGCACTCTGACCTCTGAGGAGAAACAAGAAAGGCGGCAGCAGCAATTGCGGCGGCTGCAGGAGCTCAATGCCCGGCGGCGAGAGGAGAAGCTGCAGCTGGATCAGGAGCGGCTGGACCGACTGCTGTACGTGCAGGTAAGAGCAGACACCCAGCCGTGCCAACAAGATGGTCTCAGAAGACTTTCTTGTGTATTTTTCCTTGGCCTTAAGATGCTTTGACTGTTTGTCACCTTTGGAGTCCAGGGAAATCATCAGCATAGAATACAGTTTAGAAGCAGCTGTTTCCGAAAGAGCTGTGGACTCCAGCATTATTTATTTTCACCTTATAAACTCCATTTTTTTTTTTAAACTTTTCAATTTTAGTGTAGCATACATGATGCAAAACGCACAAATCTTTATGTTTCATCTTGATGGATTTTCAAAGTGAAGCTCACCCATATGTCTGCTGTCAGGTCAAGAAACAGCATTATCAGCATCCCAGAAGCCTCCTTTCATGTCTCCTCTTAGTAACTTTCCTATTTTCTTCCACATGCCCCCCACCGGCCCCCCCCAAAAAAGGTAACAACCTTTTAGACATCCATCACCACCTAATCAGTGTTACTTAATCAGATGTTGCTGGAACTGTGATGCAGTGCTAGCCCAGAGACAGCTGTGGGAAACTGGAGGGAGCTGGAGGTGTGACTCTGTGCAGGGTAGACCAGGGGAGCTCTGGAAGCCCCCTCCAGCTGTAGTTTTCTCTGTTTGGCTTAGAAGCTACTTTCCTTCCTGTTTGTGACTGCTCTGTTTTCAGGAACTTCTAGAGGATGGCCAGATGGATCAGTTTCACAAAGCTCTGATAGAGCTGAATATGGACTCCCCAGAAGAACTGCAGTCCTACATACAGAAGCTCAGTGCCGCAGTGGAGCAGGCTAAGCAGAAAATCCTCCAAGCGGAAGTCAACCTCGAGGTGGATGTGGTAGACAGCAAGCCAGAGGTAACTGAGAGCCTTAGAAGGAGCAGTCCTTCTTGAGGGAAGGAGTGTCCTGAAGAGGGCTGACATCAAAGGGGGTTGTGCCCAGAGTCAGGAGGAGAAGAGAGCAGAGGTGGTGGCAGAGATGGCACTGACCTTGTACCCACTGACGTTTTACCAGAAGGGTTTTCACCCTGTAGATCCCCAATCCCTGAGAGCAGAAAGTGCATTTAACATAGGAAGAACATTCACACACCAAACCTGTGGTGCTGTCTTGAACCTAAACCAGCTCCACTGATAGTCAGTGGCAGTCATACACATCCTTTAATTTTCTTCTCACGTTTTATTAAATACATTATGGTTGATCGTTCACTTACCTTCTTTCCATCTTGATGTTCCCTAAGGACAGGGATCATGCTTTCATACACGATTTATGAATTTTTGACAGCAGCTGGTAGTTATACTCAGTAATACATTTATAGATTGCCTTAAGATCAGCCTTTTATTAGTTCCTAAGACCCTTTGAATAAGCTTTTTGATTTTCTCTTTGTCTCTTTTCTGTTTCCTCACCAGTGCACTGTTAAGAAGTGTTTTTGAAGCCGGGCATGTTGGTTCACGCTTGTAATCCCAACACTTTGGGAGGCCGAGGTGGGTGGATCACCTGAGGTCAGGAGTTTGAGACTGGCCTGGCCAACGTGGTGAAACCCTGTCTCTACTAAAAATACAAAATTAACCAGGTGTGGTGGCACGTGCCTGTAATCCCAGCTACATGGGAGGCTAAGGCAGGAGAATTGCTTGAAACTGGGAGGTAGAGGTTGCAGTGATCTGAGATCACGCCATTGCACACCAGTCTGGGTAACAAGAGCAAAACTCTGTCTCAAAAAATAATAATAAGTGTTTTTGTTTGAGACAGGGTCTCACTTTGTTGCCCAGTTGGCAGGCAGTTACATGATCATAGCTCAGTGTAACTCAAATTCCTGGGCTTAAGTGGATCCTCCCATCTCAGTCTCCTATGTAGCTAGGACTACAGGTGAGCACCACCATGCCCAAGTCAATTTTTGTAGAGGTGGGGTCTTACCATGTTATCCAGGCTGGTCTCAATCTCCTGGCCTCAAGTGAACCTTTCACCTCAGCCTCCCAAAGCACTCGAATGACAGGTTTGAGCCACGATACTGGCTGTTAGTAAGTGTTGATGTGGCCAAAAGAGCTTAGACCCTAGCATCTTAGCGCCTATATGGTAGAGGGGCAGCCTGTGGGTCACTCCTCAGTCCAGAAGTCACCAGTTGAGTCTCCTTCCTTTCGAACTGGAACAAAAAGTTAGTAAGTGTACATACTGTTTCTGGCTCAGTCATGCCTAGGATTCCAAAACAAAGGAACTTATTCATTGCCTTGAGACATGTTTTGGGCAGGATAAACCAGACTCTCCTCTTGTCTTTGTGTTTTTTTTTTTTTTTAATCAACTTTGATTAAGCTTTTGATTACCTATCCTTTTAGAAAAAAAACGATACTTTGGAAAAACCCAAGTCAGTGCCATTTGATGCTGGGTGTAGCATGGTGCTCATCAGTGATGTCAGAGCTGCCTTTGGCTCAGAAGGAAGCTTGGTTTTGCAGTGATGGGCTACCAGCCGGAGGTTCACTCATAGTTTCTGCTCTCACCATTGCATTTTCTACGTCTCGTTGACAGGCTGTAGACTATGTGAGGATAGTACATGAGCGTATGCTCTGTAGAGTAGATCCTGAGATAGGCTTCCGATATACACCTTACTGGATCACTAAGATCTTGTGTAGCAGGGGCCTTTACCATCTTCTTCCAACATGGCATCCTCAGTTGAATGACTGTGCCTTTTCCATTTTGCTGCTCTTGGTTTTCAGGTCTTTATTTCAGATTTGAGCTTTTGTTTACTGAAATCCAGAACCATGCTGTCTTTGTTATGTATTCATCCATATTTAGTTTTTATCATGCGTGAGACGTTAGCAGGACATACTCTTCTTTATACCAAAGCAGTACCACTAAGTCACATGCAGACAAGGGATTTCAGATTTCAGAAGGGAAAAAAAAATAAAAAGCAGCTGTGAAGATATGATTCTTCAGCAGTGGGAAACTAGCGTTTCCTTTTCTTTGTTCATTTGTCTGCATTTGTTACATGCTGTGATTCACCACCCATTCCTCCGTTCTTACGTCAGATACTTAGTAGGCACCTACTTCATTTTAGGCTCTGGCACATACATTTAAATCTCCTTGAGTTGGGGGATTTTGAAATGTTGGACTTCAAAAGATTTTTCTGTATGCACAAGTTTGATGATCAGTCAGGCTGGTCATGGCGGCTCACTAATCCCAGCATTTTGGAAGGCCGAGGCGGGCAGATCATCTGAGGTCAGGAATTCTAGACCAGCCTGGCCAACATGGTGAAACCCTGTCTCTACTAAAAATACAAAAATGAGCCAGGTGTGATGACAGGCACCTATAGTCCCAGCTACTCAGGAGGCTAAGGCGGGAGAATTGCTTGAACCGGGGAGTTGGAGGTTGTAGTGAGCTGGGATTGCACCATTGTACTCCAGCCTGGGTGACAGAGTGAGACTCCGTCTCCAAAAAAAAAATGATGATCAGTCACCAAAGCGTTAATGGTTAGTCAGCATTTTAGGGTCATTCTTAATGATTAAAGTCAATTACAGTCACATTTATGGGATAGATTTGACCATGGCACTGGCTAGCCAGTTCTACCTTTCAAAAAGTATTTTCTAACAATGTAATTCATTTAGAATGAATTGAATGGGTATATGTGAACCAAAATTCATATTGAAATACCACTTAAGCAATAATGGCTGAATTGAATTAATACAGCTGGAATTTTACTTATAGTGGTCCCAAAAATCTATTTTTTCTTATAGGCCAATCTATTCTGGCCCTTGCTATTCTGCAGTTATTCCTGTGAGTATGTTGTGAAGGAGCAGGTTTTGTTAGCATTCAAATGAAGCATTTAAACCAGAAGATGATTACTTTTTGTAGCTACAAGCACAGCATAAGAGGGTAGGAGGGGGAGAACACAGTTTTTGAGCATCATCATTTGTTGGAAAACACAATGGGCCAAATATGGAAAGTTCTCTGGCTTTATTACCCAAGATCAGGGTTGGCCTCTGCTGCTTCTTATTCTGCTCAAGGCTGTTTTAGGGAACCATGCTACATCTTCTGTGATAGGCCTTGGCAAACTGTCATTCCATGCAGAACAGTCATATTAGTGTTCCAAAAGAACACTAATATTCCAAAAGAACAGTCATATTAGTGTTTCTGAACACCACATAAGACGTGTGGAGACCCTGGCAAACTCTAGCGGGGGAGAAGCCAGCTGTGGCAGAGAAAACTATTCTCTGTTGGATGCCTGTTCTCTGTGATGAAATTTTATCAGCTTTGTTCCTCTCTGTGAATCATATGAATTGGGATAAGTAAATATCCTTTTAATAATTTTTGTAAAGCTAAGAAGTTACCTTAAGATGGTATGCTTTGGAATGAAGCTAGGTGAAGGTGAATATTGATTTTTTTTTTTTTTTTTTTTTTTTGGCATCTGAAGACACCTCTTGGAACCCAAAGCTTTACAATCACCTCTATTCCAGGGAAATTTGAGGGTATATCCCAGGGGCCCACCACTCAGTGCCAGGCATAGTATACCAGGGATGCAGAGGTGATTAAGATACAATTCCTCCTTCCTGGGTACCTCAAAAACAAAAAACGAGGGCTGTAGCACCATGCTTAGCTGACTATAATGGAGCGTAGCAGGTGTGGTGGTAAATGTGTGTGAGAATACACATTTGGTTTTTTGAGAAAGGATAATGTTTCAGGTGGTCCTTGAAAGATTATTTGGGCTGGGCACAGTGGCTCACATCTGTAATTCCAACACTGAGAGGCTAAGGAGGGAGAATCACTTGAACCCAGGAGTTTGAGACCAACCCCTGAGCCACATAGACCCCCATCTCTAAAAAAAAATTTTTTTTAATTAGCTGGGCATGCATCTGTAGTTTCAGCTGCTTGAGAGGAGTTCGAGGCTGCAGTGAGCCGTGGTTGTGCCACTGCATTCCAGCCTGGGCAACAGAATGAGACCCTGTCTAAAAAAAAAAAGGAAGATTATTTGATTTCAGTAGGTAGCAAAGGAGGAGGGAAGGACATTTTAGGTGGAAAGAACCACACATGCCAGTATATGTAGTGTGAACAAGAAAGGCTGTGGTGGGTAATGAAGTGGAGGTGACTATTAAGATCTTTACTCATCAGGCTTACGAGCCTGCATGTCATCCTTCAGACACCCAGAGCCTTCCAGGGATGTTGAGCAAGGGTAACAAGACGGTGAGGTTTTGTTTTGAGAAACTAATTGGCAGCAGTTAGGATGATGGGTTGAAGGGGGAAGGGGTGAGGCTGCAGGTGGGAAAACAAAACAAAAAGTGTTATATTGTACAGAAGAGAGCCAGTGTGGACCTGAAATGTGTCAGCAGCCTTGGGGATGGAGGGTGGAGAAGGAGACACTTGAGATGTAGGATCCCAAGATCTCGCTGCCATTTACAAGTCAAGGTGACAAGAGTAGCAGTGGCTGTTGATAATAGAGCATGTGGCATGTGCCAACCCCTTGCTGAGCACTTACACAGGTGTCCTTCTGGTTAGGGTTAGGGTAGGTATACAAGTCAGCATGTATGTGCTGTTGTTATCCCACTTTTTCAGACAAGGAAGGATTTGGAGTGAGGTCACTTAGCTAGAAGTAGTGCTGGTCAGATTCAAACACAAGCCATTCAGTTCCAGATTCCACTCTTATAACTCTTAGGCTGTATTGAAAGGTAGTAGGTAGATGGTAGTGCCCTTGACCAAGTTTGGGAAGATAAAATGAGCTCAGTTTTGAGCACCATTTTTTTTTTTAAGAGATTGGATCTTGCCGGGCATGGTGGCGCATGCCTGTAGTCCCAGCTACTTGGGAGGCTGAGGTGGGAGGATCTCTTGAGCCCAGGAGTTCTGGGCTGTAGTGCGCTATGCCAATTGGGTGTCCACA